ATTCACTGGAGACTCAATGCTCCTTAGTCCCTGTCGAATGGGCTCTTTGTGCAACCCTCTGTGGCAAAGCAAAAGGTCCCCGCAGGAATTTGTGCTATTCAGTAGAAAATACAAAAGGGAGGGTTGTAAACACTCTGATTAGTGTTGGAGCACAGCGATAATGTCTCCATGGCATATTACATAACCCCACAGCTCCCAGTTTCCCTCCTCCCCCCCAAAAGGAACAGTTTAAAGACAAGTTTTATTTAACATCGTGTTTTTTTGTTACACAAAAGTTGTTATTTTTGGCAAAAGGAGGAGGGAACAGTGACTTCAGTAACAACCACAGTAATTTAAGACCATAGCCTGCAAGGGTCTGCACTTGAAGTGACAATCACCAGAGGCGCTCAGCTCCAAAGATCAAGTATTATCAGAGGCCGCCGCTAATGTGAGCTCACACACAATAGACCCATCAGCTAATGAACACGGAATGAATCTTCTCCCAATTTCTTTATCTGAAAACAAACAAGTAATTGTGCACAGAACTAGACCAATTTGACACCATATGAAATATAATTGGGTAACTTTAAACTTCAGAAACCTCATTGTACTCTGGAGCCTCCCTACACAGGCTTACACAGAGGGGGCCACATTCTTGTATCCTGCACCCCATTAAATTCACTCATCTTAAATTCTCACTGTTTTATGGGCGAAGCTACACAAGGATTCTCAGACGACAAGCTCTCTCCTTTGAAATTCTGTCTTGCTGCTGTACCTGAGCCTTATAAACGTAATAAAATACTAATGGAGTGATGCTCTAGAAAGCATTTTAGAAAAAAAAGAAGGAAAAAGAAGGCAGAGCTGTTTAAGTGAACAAATAATTCCCTCCTGTTACTGCTCAGCTTTAAGACTACTTGAAGAAAGCCAGTCTTGGGGTCGAGTATGTCTTTTTACTAATGATAATGGGTACAGCTTCTAACTGGCAGTCTGAAATACTGCCCGAGAAGCCATTTTAATATCCCAACTTCTAGGTTTACTCAAAGTTAAAAAACCTTCCCTTTTGGTCTGCTGATCCGCTGGTACCTCATTTAAGTTCCTTATGAAACTGAGGCCGGTCTTTCTTGCTTATACAATCCAAAGAGCTATGTGTAAAGGGGCAAACATGAGGTGCCTTCCAGGCACTTCCAAATAAAAATTCGTCTTCAAGAGACCCATTCAACTTCATGACTAAATGCCAAAGTATACCTAGTCATTTTCTTACAGAAACCCTCAATTTTCCCCCGTTGACCTGAGTTGATCTGAGGATCTGAGTTGAGAGGAGATCCCGAGGAAATAGCTGTTCCCATAACGATGAAGAAAATGTGTGACGGAGCTGGCCAGGAGACGGGCCTGCTCTCCTGCTGCCCTCTCTTTCTCTCACTCCTGTCTGCACAGCAACTTCTTGTGAGTGGTGAGAGGGCAGGGTAAAAAGTGTTCGCTCAAAACCCCTGGAGAGATGGGAGGATAAACAGCCTGTACTACGTTCTGATGATTTTAGCACATTACATTAATACCCCTGTGGACAAGCCACAGGTAGAGGTATGGCTTAATTTTCATCAGTTATAAAGAAAAACACAGCAGCCATGAAGAGGTGCAAGTGAGGGGATGCTTAGGAGAAGAACCAAAGGCAGGGAAAAGGCGGGATCAAAGCGGCTTGGCGAGGAACGAATATGGGAAACTAGCAGGATAAGGGGATAGGACGCTGAAGGGCGAGCAGGCTGCCGGCCCAGGCGCTGCGCTTGGCTGTCCACGCGTCCTGGCCGCTCACTGTGTTCCACGTCCAGCTGCCTTCCCGCACAAGGGGGCTCAGCTCTGCTCTGCGTAGGCACGAAGGCCCGAGCGGTGCTGGAGCGGGGCCACGAGAGGCCGGGAGGTCCCAGCAGGTCCCCGCAGGCAGCAGGAGGCCCCAGCCGCCTCCTGGGGGGACCACGGGGTCCGGGGGGCAACTAGGACCCGCTCCGTAGGGAAAATAGGGACAAGACCTGGTTACAGCGTGCACGTGCCTCATGGGACGTGTGCTCAGCCTCTGGGGCTGGGCCCCCCTCACCTCCTCCGGCCACCAGGGCTGGCACAGCCCTATTGCAGCAACGCAGCCAGAAAAACCAACGGGAAGCGACCACAAGCAGGACGGTAGCTGAATAAACTCAGCTGGTATTAGAGATAGGAGCGGGTGCCTTCGATCATTTCCAAAACACTAGATCCAAAATCCACTGGATTTATTAAAAGCATGCTAGGAGCCCCAAGAAATCCCGTAAAAGCAACGACCACATCACTCACCGGCTTTGCAGGGTATCAGTGCTTCCGAAATTTGGGACCAACGAGTGCTTATGAGAGAGAGAGAAAAAAAAAAAGATTTTCAGAGAGCTCTTCAACTGCAAGAAGGTGTCAGGAAGGTGAGTTTCCAGGATTTACAGAGCTCCCATCCTCACAGGATTGCCGTGCCCTGGCAAATAAAAGATTGACAGGAGCTTCCAAATCCCCGTGTCCTCTCCGACGTACGGCGGCATCGTTCCCAGGCTTGTGGAATCCAAACCTCTGCTGCTGCTGGGCCTCGCTACAATCTGGGGAGCAGCCACACAGGTACACCCAGCTCAATCAGCCAAAAGGCTGGTCCTAGCGTTCAGCTGAAGCATCCCAAGATGCATCCGTTGTGCGCAAACCTGTTTCCAATTTCATGCTGCCAGACAGACTTAGCTGAGATACTAGTGCTCCAGTTCAGGTGATTTTTCTTCTTCTCCTTTTAGACCTTAAGAAAGAACCTGTCCTAAAGGAAAAAAAGAGAGTATACACTGCACTCTAGTTTGTGTCTCTGCCAGAAATCTCATCATCTTCTCATCATCTTGATGGCAGGGAAGGCAGCATGGCCTGGCCTCCAGTGGGAGACATTCCCTGAAGCTCCCTCCAGCTCCCACCACATTCCCACTTCAGCCGGCTGGGAAATGGCCCAGTCCTGTCCTGGTCTGTTCCTCTGACTTCACCCTACAGTGACAACCCATTCCCTCTTGTGTTACATCAGTATTTCCAGAATTACACTCTCATTTCTTAAGTTTTCAGAATGCAAAGGTGAAGAAACTTGAATTTCTACGTATTTGTCTACTTTGAGATAAAGAATAACAAAAGGTATTCAACCCCTTCTCAGATATATTATTCTATCAGTTTAGAACAATAACAATGGTACTTCCATAATATGCTTCCAGGTAACTTTTGCCCTGAAAAAATGATGAGAAAGGAGCCACATAGACCAGTAATATCTTTTTATTAAAATACCTCTTAAAACACTTATAGTAATAAAATACGTTTGATGTTGCTGTATGCCATTTGCATACACACAACGCTGGCAGCAAACACTAGACAGCATCAAAAATTACAAAAATAAGGCAAGCCTCAAAGTTTGCATCCTCACCACCGACTTTCAGGCCCATTACACAGATGCATCAAATTCTGAACGTGTTTTCCACAATTTTTCCTGGCCGTTTGTTAGGAGAGTCTCTTCTACCCTCCTGTGGTGTTATCCACCCACACTATTCCTTTGCCTTGCCCTCATCGTGAAATCATAGTGATGTAAATGAACATCGTGTCACACGTCCATGGCAGCAGGCTCCTCTCCAAAAGCATCAGCTCTGTTTCTTCCCCAAGAAGACTTTGAACTGTAATTTTATTTTAGTTGTTTCAAGTAGTCTATCATGGCAAAATCTTTAGTATGATCTGCAGGCACCTTACCGTATGCTTTCTATTTTGATCAAAAACGATGCATCCTCCTCCAGCTAAAAGCAGGGGGTCAAAGCTACTCTTACATGTTCTTCCTCTCCAGTCATTTTAAAGAAACTCACGTAGAATAAAACATAACATAAGATATTGCAAACAAGGGAAGACCAACTCCTCCATCATAACTTAAGTTTTTCTATCCACATCTATCATTTTTCCCCACTTCATCCCAAGTTTAAGTAGGAATTTATTTCATTATCCACTAGTTCAGAACAACAAACAATCATTTTTCAAGTACTTCTGTATAGCTGAAAAAGAGACTGAAGAAATGAGAGTGAGCAACATTATTTCACAAGAATGAATTAAACAATTTTAAAATGACTGCTTGCATTTGCGAAGGCAGTTTGGTCTGCCCAGGCTGAGGCTAGTGGCAAAAACACGAATAACCAACAGTTTTTGTAAATAATACATAAATATGTTAAAAAAAAATAAGGCGCTAAACCCAACATTATTATAAATAGCAAAAGCTGATCATTAACTATTCCTACTTTATACTTAGTACCATTACCAATAGCGACCTAATAGGGTCATATTAATTGCCCTGTAATAGCCAGCATATTAAAACTTGACTTAGCAAAATGGACAGAACACTGTTGACTCAGAGCATCCTCGCTTTGCTTCAAGACTCATCTTCCCTTCATCAGTGACTTCGAGGGGAAAAAAAATAGAAGTAGGTTTTGGAATAAATATTCACAGCAAGCTACTACATGTGACACGGGCCTGCTACCAGCTGCTCGACTGATCACCCTGTGGCACTTGCTAGGTCATGTTGTTTCGTTTTTCTTTATGCATTCAGTCTTTTACTTCGTAAAGTAAACGTTCATGTTTCCTTTACTAGACTGAATGTCTGGGGAGGGAAAGTGTTTCATGCACAGCGTTCTGTTGAGCCGCCCTTCTAGGAAGTTAGGATTTTATCCATGACAGCCCAGGTTTTGAACTTGAAGAGAAGGAATGAGTTAAAAGAATTTTTCTTTTCCCACATATCCTTTTCACAACAGAAAGCTAAGCTCAAGAATAGAAGGTAGTAAAGCAGAAAATTACCCCGTCCCCTCTCCTCCAAATACAACAGTATCCACTTGATTACTTGTCAGACTCAGGAGCTGGGAATCTTGTTACCATATTATTAAGGTTTCCCTACTCTAAGGTTTCTACCTACTAGGTATACAGTATAGTCAATACATTCCAATCAAAGCTAAACAATCGGGACAGTGAGTATGAGCATGGCCGTACCACTTGACCAGAAATAAAGATAAACTTAAACATAATGGTTGCAACTCTACTACTTAGCCTTGTTTACGTGAGATTAAAAAAAAAAGAATAAAACAAAAAGATTTCAAATTTTATACATCTTTTCTCAAGCCAGCTACATTTAACTGCAACCAGTAGGTATTCCACCAGAATGCAGCATTTCCAATCCCCATCTCTTTAGCTGAGAGAGAATACTTTGGCCTCTGTGTTACTATTTTACAGTTTTCCTGCTTCAGAACATGCAGTTCATGCATTTTACAGTTTTGCTGCCATAGTCGATGCATTCTGGCCCGATACACTCGCAGCAGGCGTTGTGAAACCATCGGTATTTGGACGCTCCCATGGACTCGCAGGAGATCTTGCACTGATGTATCGACATGCAGTCGTCAAAATACACCACAGTGCACATGTGCTCTACACCAGGGGGAAGGAAAAAGGAGTTTGGTTTAAAAATGTTCAAAACACTTTAAAAGTTTAGTTAAACAATTAAACATTCACCTCAAAGTAGGAGTGCAAATTATTAAGACTGAGCCACAAGGGGGGAAAAAAGGGATTAAAACGAGCCATGTTAAAATAACAAACAAGCAAATGTTCTCTGAAAGTAAAATCTGTGCCACCAAGTTTACAGTTGCCAGCAGTTATTAAATGCTATAATGAAAAGCTTAGTTTTCAAAATTTAATAAAAAAATAAACACGCACTTAGACATTCCCTCCACATTTTGACAGCATTCTTACACCATATTAAATCACAGAGCTGACACCATATTAAATCACAGAGCTGGAGAATCTTGTTTTCCTCAACTTGAAACTGCACACTTTCTTTTGTAAAGCAACACCGCCTTTGCTAGCAAGACTGAAAACCCCTTTCTCTCAGAAGGCCGACTTTGTTGCTCAAGGATTCGTGCAACTGTGTGAAATGAAAGTTTGGTGGCATAACCCAAAGTTGGAGTTGCAGCATTCACCACAACAGTAGAACAAAAACGAAGGCTACTTTTAATTCTCAGAGCTGATGGATTCTAACAATTTTCCTCCGTGCACACTGGGTGATTACACTGCAACGGTTCATCGCCTCGAGGATCTTGGTTGTATCACACACAACACAGGAAACTTTGGGGAAAGCTCAACAGAAGGCTGCCTACAGGCACGTCTCCCTTGCACACAGACTGATCCATGTGTGGAGAAGTCAAGCGAGTTTCCAGCCAACCACTACTACTTGCATAAGGTACAGGTCTCCCAGAGAAACATGCTGACCAAGACAGGTTGGAAAAATGTCATCCAAACAGACCTGCCAAGTCAGTGTTTTATTTTTGTTGACTGCTTATGGAGAAGGGGGAGCAGTGAGATTCTTAACCACAGCACTGATTCTGCCTCTTGCACCCGAGTGCGGTTATCAGCTGCCTCCGTGGGACGCAGCTCTCACGGCGAGCTCCTAAAGCAGAGGCCAGCAAGAAGCTCCAGCACTCCAGAGATCGCCTGACCTGAGCAGTCCTGCAGGGATGACAGACACCTCTATGGTGCCCTGGCTCTTGGACGCCTCGCAAGGCCCAACGCAATGTACAGAACGGGAGCACAACGAAGCTGCTAACGTTTCTATGGGGGCTTCCTCCTCCTGGACACCTGGAAACACTGCCACCCTCTAGACTCGTCATTTATGGAAACACACCTGGGGGAAACCTGGCCACTCTACAACTGCTGAGCTACCTGAAGAGCTGCAAGAGGGTCACCCGATGTACGGCCAGGCTACCAAAAGAAAGATATTAAACCTCTGTGTTCAGGCTCTGATGCGCACTTCTTGCAGACACTGCATGCTGTGCAACAAGCAATATGAGTCTTGAGGAGGAAGGGCAAGCGCGTAGCTGGAGCACGTTGTTTCTCTAACCAGATGGACCAAACAGGAAAGCTGTGCAGTGAGGAAAGCTGTGGCTTTCCAAGCAATCTTGAGGTACTGCTGGGAACGTCAACAAAATCCACCGAAGCTATAAAAACCCTGTCCTGCTCTTGGCACGCTTTCTAATAAAGCCGGGGGCCTTAGCAAGCAGAGGAAGAGAGTCCTTGGAGAAATAAAACCTCTGCTTAAAAGCAGTCTGTGCCCTCACAGTTTCAGTAAGGACACGTATCCTAAAGCGTAGAGAGGTCCCCAGCAGCGCCTGGCGCGGCTGCCAGGGCCCGGCTGGTGAGAAGGCGCTGAGGAAACCCTCAGGGGGAGACGGCCGTCCCGGCGCGCCGGGCTCCCTGCAGAGACACGGGCTGGTCTCGATGTGCCGCACGGATTCTGCACACCGGCCATCTCCTTCACACCCAGTTTGAAGACCCACCCCCCTCCAGTTACTACAGGCCACAGCAGTTCCCCAAATGAAGCATAGAATCTCTCTTGTTCAGCTACAGAAACAACCCCAAAGCCAAAGGTATCTACAGGCTTCCTGGGGATGCTGGCGAGTATTTAAATGGCTTCAGACGCCCAATTACGCAGTCATCGCCGCAGACAGACAGGGTATCGCTCACTCCGCCGCCGGCTCGCTCGGATGCCGTTCAGGCACTTTCGGGAGCGCTCCGGCAACTTTCACATGGAAAGGCCTCCAGAACAGGGCCTCGGCAGGTGGGAAGAGGGAAGCGGGGGAAGTGCAGCCACACAGCAATTTTTATCAGAACATAAAGGGTTTTCACCTCCTCTCTGTCCGTACTGAATGAAGGTTACGTGAGAGGA